ATAAGACGTAAGGAAATCTAGTATCTCTGTGATGGCTTTGAAGAAGGGTTAGGGAAACCAGAGGTCAAAGAGAGAACCCAAGGGTGTACGGGCACCATGCAAGGACTCTGTCTGCCCCTGTGCAGTTACGTCTGTGACGCACTGTCCTAGAATGAACTTGAAAGAAAAGGATTAATATTTATTGTAATTATAACAATGCCAACTCTTTATTTTTATGTGTGTGTGTCTGCATGTTTGCCTGTGCATGTATATGTGTGGATGTGCCCAGTATCTGTGACGCACTGTCCTAGAATGAACTTGAAAGAAAAGGATTAGTATTTATTGTAATTATAACAATGGCAACTCTTTATTTTTATGTGTGTGTCTGCATGTTTGCCTGTGCATGTATATGTGTGGATGTGCCCAGTTGTATGTATTTGGAAGTCAGAGGTCAACATTGAGTGTCTTAATTACTTTCTACCTTATTTTTCTGACACAGGGTCTCTCAAAACGGAGTTCACCAATTTGGCTGGACCAGCTAGCTAGCAAGTCCTAGGAATTCTCCTGTGTTCATCTGCCAGGCTCTGGAATTATGGACGTGTGAAGTCACAGCAGCCTTTTTACACGGGTGCTGGGGACTGAACCCGAGTACTCTCGCTTGTGTGGCAAGCATGTTATCAACCTAGTCATCTCCCTAGTCCAACCTCTACCAATGGCATCTAAACAGACATATATTTAATAAGTTCATACCTTCATATAGTCTGCAACCTGGAGAACGTTGATGCAAAATTTCCTATGAATTTGGTAACTGAAGAGCATCAACTAATATGTTATGGTTTAACTATAAAACACCCACCTGGGGACCACATGCTGGAACACTTAGTCTCCAGCTGGTGACGCTGTGTGGGAAAGTTGTCTAGAGTGGCTGACCAGCCAGCCCCAGAGAGCCTCCTGTCTCTACCACCCCAGTGCTAGGATTGCAGGCATTTGGTGCCTAAGTTATTTTCCAGAGTCTTGGAAACTCTTTCGGCCGTCTGAAATTATTTGAAAACACTACATCTACAAAGTAAATTCTTTGACACCCAAGTGTCAAAACTTTTGCCCTCAAATCACGCTAATACTGCCACATTTTTGAGCGTATATCCTATTTATATCCATGATATTTGATTAAAAGTACAGAGTCCACAGATACTATATCTTCTCCCCAACTTCAGTCGCTTCTCTCCAGGGTTTAAATCACCTGGCTTTATCATCCCATAAATAACCCTAAACCCCATCACTGGGGTGACAGATTTGAGACCTGCCTGCTCATCTCCTTACTTGGCTAATTCATGAATAAACCCACTTTGTTTTGCAAAATTCATCATTTTAGCAACTAGCATCCTATGCGTGTGTGTGTGTGTGTGTGTGTGTGTGAGAGAGAGGGGGGGGCAAGGAAGGCTGATTTGGTAACACAGAGAAGCATTCTCGTGTCACTGTGAGGAAAAAGCACTGGGTGCAAATGTGTGTGTGCAGAGGCTTTTGAGACACGTCTTCCAACATCTGCACTGCTATCCATCAAGCCTCACATGGACCTTGTAAGTATGTATGCCATGCTACCATGCATGATAGAGCAAACAAATTAACAAACAGAAATGATGGAAGTCTAGGGTCAACCCCCGCCCCCCTGCAACACTCGGTTTCTTCTGGTACCTCTGGTTTGCTTGATTTTGGCCGTGTGTGTGTGTGTGTGTGTGTGTGTGTGTGTGTAGAAATGTATGTGTTCACAGGTGGAGGACAGAGTGATGTCAGTTGTCTTCCTTAATCGCTCTCTACCTTACTCTTTAAAATACAGTTCTTATTATTCTTTGAGGACTTCATACTTCTATATAATGCATTTTGGTTGTATCCAACCTCCCCTGCAACACCTCCCAGACCTTTTCTTCCATGTTCCTCTCTTAATTTCGTGTCTTCAGTTTTTAAAACAATGGTCAAAATAGTGCTGCCTGTTGTGCACGGCTGTGGGGGCCATCCACCGGCGCCTACAGTGTCCAAAACCCTAAAAGAAACCGACTGTCCCCACATCAGTCAGCAACTGTTAGGGATAGTTCTTCACCTAGGGATCCCAGTCCATGTTGGCATGGTGACTGGCTTTATCTTATACTGGTCTTGTACAGGCAACCACATAAAATGTATCTTTTGAGACAAGGATTCTCACTGATCTGGAGCTTTCCAGGTAGGCGAGGCTGGCTGGCCAGTGAGCCCCAGAGATCCTCCTGTCTGTCTCCACCTCCTCAGTGCTGGGATTACAGGGGCATACCACTGCCCCAGGCTCTTTACATGAGTCTCCGTGGCTATAGAGCAAACACGTTAGTGACTGATCCATCTCCTCAGCCCTTATCTCTGTTTTAGCTTCTGTCTAGATTACAACTACAGGAACCAAATAACACTGAAGGTTTTGAACCTCAAAGCTTCTCCATCGTAGGATACATGTTGACCCTTCTGCTAAAGCCGTTACACAGCATGAACAAAGCACTTGACAAGTGTGAAATGTACACACTATGACATGCATACCCATGATGCCTCATGTACAATGGGAAAACCCTCAACCAGTATCTGCTCCACTGATACCCACGACATACGGTGACACCATTTGCACTGGACACTAAGTTGTGTCTCTTTTATACTGCATTGAATATACAGACAGGAAAAACAGCAGTGCTAGCTCTGGTACTAGGAGGATCCTCATTTAACACACATCCAGAGAGCTGTGTGCGTGTGTGTGTGTGTGTGTGTGTGTGTGTGTATGAAATCTCCACTATATCCCTTGCAAGAGTAACACAGATCCCTTGCTACTTAAAAAGCATTAAGCATGACCCTAAACAGAGGATTACTTATGTTGACTTTCTTCCCAACATAAATTTATCCCTGAAGGAGTAAATTAGCGTGAGCAATTGTGCAACGGATGGCTATACATGCTAACCCTTCTTTTTCTACACTTAGAAACATGCACATGGATTCCATGTACTAGATCCCACGAAAGGGACCTTGTTTGTGGGGCACAGAAATCTATGAAATATTTTTGCTCTATGCCCTTCACGAAGACCTCAAATTAGCATCTCAGCAACAACAGCACTGTGTAGAGAAACGCTGTGAATTTTATAAGAGCTTAAATTGTTTCCCCACACTGGCTTTGATATATGAATGAAGAGGAAGCCTTCTCCATAAAAACTATTCTTTTACGCTTTATAGCTATTTCAATTGGGCAATTGTGAGTTCAACATTTGTGTCCAGGTGACTTAGCTTTGACTAGATCCGTGTTTTTCCGCTCTGAGAGTACTTATCTATGTTGTGTGTTAGGAAATATATCTGACTACATAGGGAAGACAGAGGCCAACCTCACGTGTCATTCCTTAGGAGCCGTCCACCTTGTTTATTCACGTGGACTCTCTCCCTGGGACACGGAACTCACTGATGAGGTTAGGCTACCTAGCCACTGAACCCCACAGATCTGCATGTCCCAACTGCTGCAGAACCGATACCGCAACATACACCAGCCACCACGCCTAGATTTCTACTTGGAGGCTGAGGAGGGAACTCGGCATACGTGTGATGGCTGATCTTGGTGGGGAACATGCATGCATGACTAGATGTAGAACTGAGAGACTTTTTTGATCAGATTATTGGAAGCCAGAATACCCACGCTACATGTGGGCGTTACCTTCCGATGGCAGCCCACATGGAAGGTCACGCGGAAGGGAGTGTTTGCTCTTTGGCCTGCTTGCCTTCTCTCTCACTGGCAGGTTCATCTTGTTGCTGTGATATTTCCTTCACAGACAACAGAATCAATTTCTTCTGGATTCCAACATAGACTGAAGAGTAGCAGATCTCCAGGAATCGTTTCGACCTTCAGCACCAGATTGGCACTTTTGAGACATGCATCTTCATGACTTGAACAACTACTGGATTCTCAGCCTGTCCAGTGTGGTGCAGCCATTGTTGGGCTACTCATTGCTGGACTCCTTTAGGAATTCCATTCCTTTAGAGAACCCTGACTAATACAATGTGGAAGCACTTATGCACTTACCCACTGAACCATCTCTACAGCTTTCTTTTTCTGCTTTTTATGAACTTTACTTCCATCTCACTCTCAACACTTTCAGGAAGACATCTGTAAATTGCCTAGGATACTCTGAGTACAGGATAGATAAATGCATCATCTGATCTTTGAAAATATGTTTTATAAGCAAGCTGCTGTCATCATCATCTTTGAAAATATGTTTTATAAACAAGCTGCTATGGTTCTTGGGCAATTCTCTCAGGACACCTGGATATGACATTCAGTGACTGATCAGACTATAACACCACAGAGCAATTTTATCCAAGAATGATTTTTACCAAGTTGCTGCAAAGTTTTCTGTGTTCACACAACGGATGCCAGAAGTTTTTACAAACAGCAGCATGGTTAATCTTGTCAACCTGACACGATCGCCTAGTATCACCTAGAAGGGAAGCCTTCGGACATGCCTGTGAGGGATTATCTAGATCAGTTTAGTGTCTGGGAACATGGGAAGGATTATCTAGATGAGGTTGAATGAGCTGGGAAGACCTAGGCTAAACGTGCACAGCACCATTTCATGGCTTGGGCTAGTCAAGTGAATACAAACAGGAAAGTAAGCTGAGCATCAACATTTCATCTCACTCTCGTTCTTGATTACGGACGTAATGTGACCGCTTGTCTGAAGCTCCTGCCGTCAGGCCTCCCCCACCATGATGTGCTGAACTCTCAAACTGTCAGCCGACGTATTATGTTGAAGCAAATGGGGAAAGGAACTACCACAACCATACAAGCACGACACACCTTAGACCATGTATCCTGTCAGGTCCCACATTGTTATCATTTCCCACATCATGTGGAAGAGATGGTTAAGAGAGGCCTCTACCTAGTGTGGACAGAGATCTATGGGTGCAATCGACACCTTGTGTCTTGCACGGCTATTGTAAGTCACTACAAATTCATAACAAAGGAGATACATACTAACCTCTTTATGAACTGAGTGGCTTCTACTGCCAGCCTCTGAGTGAGGTTGTCATAGGATGTGGGTTGCTGGGAGATGTCATAGTTCTTCATCAGGAAGCAGTTCGTGGGCCGGAAGTAGTGTAGGAAGCACAGGAAGGAGGCAGCGATCGTGCCAGCCAGGAGGAAGAGGAACAGGAAAACACCGTAGGGTACGTGAAGCAGCCCTAGCCAGCGGAGGACAGCCAATGTCAGCACCGTGACCCCAACGATCTGAAGGGGGATGAAGACCATCCATCTGTAGGCCATGCCGAAGACTGTGCCTTCCCCGGGCCTGCAGTCTCTGAGGTTGGTTGTCGGAATCCCGTAGAAGTAATCAAAGCCGTGTCGTAGAGGGTGGTGACAGAAGTCGGTCATGTTGTAACAGTTCATCCCGAGGTGCCATTTCCCTGAAAACACAAATAGGGAGAAACTTGAACACCACTTGAACGCCAGCTACTAATCCCCATATGCTGAATCTCCTACGCTCTTTCTATTTTATCAGTCTATCCGTATAACTACAGGTTTTCTGGTAGCTTTCCGTCACTATGACAAAACGCATGAGATAATCCTCTTGAAGGAAGAAAGGTGCATTTTGTCTCAAGAATCCACGGCTAATGTGCTGAGGCCAGAAAGCCTTTGCAAAAGTAGGGGAAGTAAAGCTGCTCACTTCGTGGCAAACCAAAGGCTCTGAGAGAGAGTAGATGACGAGTCTACAGACCACCAATGACCCAACTTACTCCCATTCCATCCTATCCCTAAAGTTTCCTCTAGCTCTTACAAGTACCACTTCCTGCAGAACAAGCCTTCCACACGTGAGCTTTTGGGAGATATTGTTGATCCAGACTATACAGGCCTTCGTTTCTTACTACTTAACACTAAGTGGTTAGCTTCTCAACTCTACCAGGAAACAATAATTTGGCAACTGAAAAAAAAAAACCCAAAGAAAAACACAAGTACAAAACGATCTCATATTATTTAAGGACATGAAACAAAGCTATATGGAAAAATGTATTTTTGTTTTTGAGACATGCCTTTATAGAGTTTTAGACCAAGCTGTGTAGCACTAACTACATTTAGTTGGGTTTTAACAAAAGCTATGATGATGGGATTAAGGTGTGTTTCAGGGAAATATGGTGGCAGTTGGGCAGGGAAATGTACTGTAGATATGAGCATGTCTTCCTGTATACATGTATGAAATTCACAAAACATAAACACTTTAAATAGTAATGAATCCGTTTTCAAAAATGTACCCGTGAAACATGGAGAAGTCATACTAACTCTACAACTATTCCAAATGCCTCTGGAAGTTTCTTACAAAAATTTAATGATGCTGCCAAATGAATTAGTGCCTCACCAAAGAAAAGGGAGATGATCGTCGTTGCTGCTTTGACACAGGGTCTCCCTGTACCCCAACTGCCCTGGAACACACTATGTAAACTATAGTGCGGGCCTCAATCCCACAGAGATCCACCTGCCTTTCCTCCTGAGTGCTGGGATTAAAGGTGTGCAGTACTGCGTCTGGTGAGAGTGATTTTTCTTTTGAAAAAATATGGGCATAAGGAGGGTCATTTTGTTCTTATGATGTGATCTAGGAGTCACCTCTCCAAGGACTATATAAATATCCCCCAGAGGTCCATGTGTTACAGGCATGGTCTCCCAGTTTGGTGCTATGAGGATGTAACAGAATTTTTATGAAGTGGGGCCCAGTGGGAGGAGCCTAGGTCATTGGACATTCTTAAAGCACACAGTAGGACCACAAATCCTTCCTCTTGTGCTTTTCCACACTCTAATAATGGTTAAAAGATTTTTTTTTCCCACCAGGACCTCTGACCATGATTTGCTAATACACATCCAGTGCAATGGTGTTCAATAGATAACTGATGGAAACTTCTAGAACTGTGAAACACAAATGAAAGTTTTCTCTTCCTTGGTTGAATATTTCACGTGCTTCTTACAGTGTTGGAAATGTCCCTGACATGCAATTTTAATATTGAAAAGTAAAACAAATATATTTAGCAGTAAGATGGTGTACACAGCTTTGTAAGCTGTCTTTATATATACCTAGCTATCGGCTATTGTCAATCACCTGAAATCTGTATTATCTATGATCTAGCTTATCCATCCAACCTACTATCATTTATTATACCTTTCAGTTATCTAGCTGTATGTCTCCTGTACCTATTCACATCTCTGCTCTCCACCCATCATTGATCATTTCATTCATTTATGTATTCCTCTTCCATTTTCTGTCTGTCCACATATTGTTATCTATCATCCATCTATCATCTATCTACATATTATCTATCTATCATCTAGCTATATATCATATATGGATCTATCACTTATCTATCATCTATCCATCAATCGATCTATTTATCACCTATCTTCTGTATTATTCATGATCTATCCCATCAATCCACCCACTCTATCCACATATCCATTTATTCATTCATTTCTGCTACATCTGTTTCTCATGTATGTATATTTACCTCTCATCGACCTCCCCATCATCAATAATTTCATCCATTCATCCATCGATTCGGCTTCCATCCTACGTCTGTCCATATATCATTATCGATCATCTATGTATGTATCTATTATTTATTTACCATCGATCTTCTGTGCTAAGATCGATTCCATCCATGCTTCCAATCCTCTCTCCAGCCACTCTACCTTTTCTCTATTTATTAATTATCCCTCTTGTATCCATATCTCTTGCGTATCTACATTTCTCATCTATCAGCCCCTTATTGATCATATCATTCATTTAGTCCTTCATCTTCCATCTCTACTTTGTCCACTTACCATTACCCAGGTATCTGTCTATATCTATCCATCTATCTCTCTATCTCTCTATCTATCTACCTACCTACCTATCTATCATTTATCTATCTATCATCTATGTATCTATCATCTACCTATCTATCATCTATCTACCGATCTATCTATCATCTATCTATCTATCTATCTATCATCTATCTGTCTATCCATCTATCTGTCTATCTATCTACCATCTATCTATCAATCTATCATCTATCTCTCATCTATCTACCTATCATCTATCTATCTATCATCTATCTATCCATATCTATCATCTATCTATCATCTATCTATATCTATCATCTATCTATCTATGTATTATCTATTTATCTATCATCTATCATTGATCTATCTATCATCTATCTGTCATCTATTTATCTATCATCTGTCTATCTATCTATCTATTATCTATCCATCATCTATCATCTATATATCATCTATCAATCATCTATCATCAATCATCTAGCCTATTTTTATCTATACAATCTATAATCTATCCAATCCATCCATCCAATCATATATCCAGCTGTTTATACTATCATCTACCCACTTATTATCTGTCTCGTATTTGTGTCTCTAACGTGTCTATATTAATCTCTAATCTGTCTACTCATCCTCTATCATTTCATCCATTTATCCATTTATCTTTGATCTTCTGTCTGTCCACTTACATTATTCATCTATCTATGAATCTATGTATCTGTCTTCTTGTTTTTCATGTGCCTATCTGCCTGTCATCTATCTTTCAATCATCTATCAAAGCATGAATCCACCATGCCTCTCATCTATGTGTCTATACTTATCTATCTATGCATTTATCGGTTCATCTTTCTACCTTTCTGTCTATCCATTCATCTGGCTATCAACCTAATATTACCTGATATCTATTTCCTATCTACCTATAAATCATCTACTATTAATCATTATCATTGATGTATCTGTTATCTCTCTATCTAAAAATCATCTATCAACAGCCACTACTATTTACCTACAACAGACAGAGACACACACACATAGGAACACACACACACACACCCCACCCCCCCACACACACCCCCACTCTTATGTATATATTCAAGCCACCCAGACAGGATCCATGTTATATTCTAGACTCAGGAGCATGTTAATCCCATGTCAAGGTATGCAAACCACAAAACAAATCACCCCACATCTGTCACTAGGGTCTGCCCCATGTTCTCTCTCCGCACCCACGATCATGATCAGTACCTCCCCCCCCAATTCTCTCTTCTGTCTCCAACCCCATCCGCACCTCCCACTTTCCATGCGCTCCTTCACATACCTATCAGTGCTGTTGAGTAGCCCTGATCTTTCAGAAGCCTGGCAAAAGTGATCTCACTGGGGGGCAGCCCTCCAGAAGAAGCCGAGAAGATGAACACCCCAATCCTGTTCCGAGATGCCATTCCTGCCGTGGGAAGAAGAAAAGTACCAGGTAAACAGCAGGTGATCTGTGGTACTGGAGTCTGCAGTGAGGTGGAGACCCAGATCACTGACATACACAGGTGGTTACCTGATCGCACGGGGTACCGGCCCGTCATGAAGGCCGCCCTGCTGGGTGTACACAGGGGCGACGCTGCCAGGTGCTGAGTGAGTTTCACACCTCCGCTAGCCAGGCGGTCAATGTTGGGAGTCCTACAGCAAGAGAACCAGATTGTTTCTAAAGAACTTCAGCATGAAGCCGGCCTGAGAGTTGTATGCCTAGTCCTCAGTGACCACCAGGGATTATACAAGTGAATGCAGGAAGAGGAGAGGTAGAGCAGCCAGGAAGCAGACAGCCAGGGTTCCAGAGATCCAGGGCTCCCTAGCCCTGCGTTACCAGACAGGAACCACATCGCAAGACTGGGCTCCTATGCCATCTAAAAACAGGATCTTATGGCCCAGGAAAAAATAGATACATGCAGTGAACAGACAGTTGTTATGCTCCATCCGCCCCACAGTCTTAGTTGATGTTCCTTTTTAGTTATTATCTGTGTTTCTATGTGTATGTGTGCATGTGTGTGGAGCCCAGAAGTTGATATTCAACGTCTTTGTCAGTTGCTTTATGCATGATTTTTGGAGACAGCTTTCTTACTAAATCGAGAGCTCAGTGGCTTCGATTGACTGCCTAGCCAGCAAGATCCAGGGAGCCTGCTGCCTTTGTCTCTCCAGATCACAGATGCATGCCATATGCCTCCCGGCTTTTTACGTGGGTACTGGGGGTCAACCTCAGGTCCTCCTGTTTGTGCTGCAAACAGTTTATCTCGTGAACCATCTCCCTGAACCTCCTGAACCATCTCCCTGCACCTCGCTATTCTTTTCTCTTTTTCAGACAGTCTCATGTACCACAGGCTGGCCGCAGACCTGCAATGTTGCCAAGGATGACCTTGAACTCCAGAACCTTTTGTATCATGGTGGCTGTGTTGGGATTACAGGTATGCACTGCCACCATGCTTAAGAGATAGTTCTTCAAGAGTTTACTTCTGGAAACAGACATTTTGCACGGGAAGCAGTCTTAGTACGTTTTTCTCCAGGAGTGCATCGGCACCTTTAGAACTCCTGATATCTTCCAGGCATTAATTCAGACATTCAAGTCTTTATGTTTTTGGAGTACATTAAGATATATCATATACCCACCATCCTCCAGCAGTATCCCAGGCGATTTTCAACACCCTGACTGGTGATCTCCCATACGGTAAGTTCCAAGCACAGACAGAACACTTGTGAAATTTCAGAGCTGCTCTTTAGCCACAAGGTTTGTGTATAGGAGAGTAACTCACAGTCTCCTGATAAAGCAACTGACTCCAGGTAAAGTAACACAGGGGTTCCCAGGGCTGTTTCCCAACAGTGCTCGCTGTGCATCTGCCCATTCGTTTGTCCACATCCCAACTCTCACGGATGACTCCTGGAGGCTTCAGGTGGAAGATCGCCTCCTTGCATGTGTTATGTGTGCCATGATGAACTTACTGCATTTTTCTGTCAACACGTCTACTTTGTTTCACTTTCAGTGAATGGGTGCTCGGGAGTCTCGCCTAGTCTCTGTAGTTGACTTAAACCTCCTACTGACATGATTTGCCCAGGAAACAATCTGACTATTTGGGGACCATGACGTGATAAAAATATAGAACGGAGAAGGTCATTCCAGAAGCCTGGAAGTCACGTACAGATGGAAGAAAAGACAAATGTGGTGAGGACAATGATCCTGCCATACTTTGCTGACATTGTTTTTCTTGTTTTATTCACTAGCTGGTAGATGATGAACGTTGATTTTAATTTTTTTACTTTAAAGAGCTTCCTAGTAAGCCATTGTTTTAGGAAATATGTTATGCCAGGAAACTTTAGAAATGCACATCATTTTTAAATGCTGTACACAATGGGAAAAAAACTAACAATATTATAGTTATGCTCTCCCCCCCCAAAAAAAAGACTACTTTAAGAGTTATGTCACAGGTGTCCAAAAGAGATCCATGCATTTAAAATTTCTATTTATGTATATTTTTTAGAAAATGTAGCCCAAGTAGGCCAGAACATTTACAAGGCCCTCTAAAATTATAATGGAAATATTGAGGACAGATGTTAATTCTATACAGGTTTTTACATTTTTAACTATTATATTTTAGGTCAGCAGATATTTAACCTCTGATGCACAGATTCCAATGCAAGCTGACATAACCTTCCGTATTCATTGTAAACAACATTACCTTTAAAAACAATAACTGGGAGATAGAGTTGAGTCACCAGCACCAGATAAATTAGACATGGTGACACAAAACTATAATCTCAGCAACTGGCAGGTACAGATAGTGGAACTAGAAGTTTGAGGTCATACTCAGCTCCACGGTGACTTCAAGGCCAGACTAGGCCACAGGATACTCTCCAGAAAAGAAAAAAGGATTGATTCTTTTTTTCAAAAGCTGGCATTTTCACACAGTATGGTAAGAGCCCTTGTTTATGCATGAGGCCCCGGGTTTGATGCTAATGCTATAAAATCAATTAGCTAATCAGTTTTTGTTTGATCTGATAAAGAACTGAGAAATACACTTCTTATGACACTTGTTATTTTGAAAAAAGAGGCATCTGAGTGAAGGAGATGGAAATGAAAATAGCCCGTGATGCCTGGCTCTGTCCCCAATCCCTTCGCATAAGAGTCCTTCGTCAGTCCTAAGAGGATGTTCTGGTAAAACTAAATGTCTTCTCCCCCACCTTTCCTTCTCGTTTATCTTTGTTTCACTTCATTTACTTTATGTTTTTATCTTTTGAGTGACCCAATTATTTTTATGTCATCATTTTCTCATTAAGAGTAAAACAAAGGGTCTTGAGGGATGCCTCAGATGCAAAGGACAGTGGCTGCTCTCGCAGACGACCTGGATTCAGTTCCCAGAATGCACACGGCACCTCATAAACATCTGTAACTCCAGTTCCCAGGGATCTATGCTTTCCAGCATTCCTCGGGCATTGCATGCATGTGGCATACATACCTAAATGCAGGCAAAACCCTCCTAGGTATAAAATAAAATGTTAATTTAAATAAATTTTAAAAGAATACAACAGAGTCTGGAGAGATGGCTTAGTGGTTAAAAGCACGTGCTGGTCTTGCGGAGGATCTGGCTATCAGTTCCCAGCACACACACACATCATGGCTCACAACCAACTGTAACTCCAGTCCCAGGGAGGGGATCCCTTGTCCCCTTCTGGTCCCTCAGTCACTGCATGCATAGGATGCACACATGTGTATGCAGGCAAAATTCTCATACACATAGAATAAAAATAAATTGAAAAAAAAAATTTTTAACGAATCAGACAAAACAAATTCCAGATGCCTGTCTTGTGCTATACTTGCATTTAATTTCTTCCTTAGTACCAAAAGAGTCCTTAAAATATGTTGTATATTAAGTAACTATGACTTAGAAGGCTTAGAAACTATACACTCCTTTAGGGAAATGCTTAAATTCTGGCCTCAGATGCCCTCAATCTGGTTCACACTGTGATTCTCAGTATGCTGACATCATCTCTGGTCCTTTGAAAGCTATGTCATTAGAAAGTATAACATTTCTCCTCATGACTATCCCTAGAACTATCATGTGAAAAATGTTTATGTTCCTCTCAAAATTCTCATCTCCAAGCTGATAAGATTTGAAGGTGGGTGGTGGTGGTGGTGGTGGTGGTGGTAGTGGTGGTGTGAGATCATGAGGGCCCAGGCTCAAGGATAAGTGCCCTTGTAAAAGACACTCTAGAGAGCTCTCTGTCCCTTCCACCCTGAGGAGGCACCTTATATAAATAAGGAGGCAGCCCTCACCACACAGCATTTCTGGCAGACTCTGATTTTGTCCTTGGAGCCTCAAAACTGAGATCAATAGGTGCCTGATGTTAGTAAGTAACCCAGTTATAGCAGTATAAACGTTACAGAGACAGTGTCAGTGGTTAAGATGGAGAGTCCTGGGAGGGAAGAAAAATGAGGTCTGGAGGTAAGAGGAAAGCCAGGTGAGCCGGGGCAGGAACAGACCTCACCAGAAAAGCTTGGATACCAAAGATTAGACAGCACAGAGAAAAGGGGAGGGAAGCGGGGTACAGTACTCCACAGTAGTGATGAATAAGGAAGAAATAGGATGAAGAGCTCTTTAGTAAAGGCTTTGCCTTCATCAAACTCCTTGTGTGGATTAAAGCCACTCCATTCACACCTGCCTGCAGCAGACTTCTATTCCCTGTCCGCACAGCAAGCCAGGCACAGACATGATTAGTAGCTGTGAACGGATCTCCCTATTCCCATAACATCTGCGTCTGCAAACCTGAGAGTCTTGTTTCTTATTCCCTGTCCGCACAGCAAGCCAGGCACGGACATGATTAGTAGCTGTGAACGATCTCCCTATTCCCATAACATCTGCGTCTGCAAACCTGAGAGTCTTGTTTCCGTAACACCCAGGGTCCCCGATGCCAAGGTCGTCCGCCATGATCAGGAGGATGTTCGGCCTTGAGGTTGCTTGGCTGTGGGCTTGACATAGAAAAAGCGCCACAAGGCTTAGGATCCTCATCTTCCTGCAGAACGCAAAGAGAGAAATGATCACTGCAGGATGCCTACGCCATGACTCTTCATCCTTCTCGAGCTGTGCGGCTCTGCTTTCCTCTTGGCACACATTTTACCAGGACACTAAGTCAAGTCATTAGGTAACAAGGCCGCAAAATAAAGCCGGAGGGAGGACTAGCTGCGAACAGGAAGCGGGTCAGTGGGTTTGGGAGGGAGACAAAAGAGGGAACACGATCAAAATACATGAATGAAAACAATGAGTGCAGGTTTTATGCATAATTAATTTATGGTGATAAAGTTTTTTTTTTTTTAAGTGAAACCCAGGAAGGTGGTTTAAAACCGTGCCAGAGCTGGAATTTTTTTCAATGCATGTTTACCCTACCTCACCATTAAGTATTTATAACCTTTCAGTGCTGAAGCCAGGGGTAATGTTTGCAGTTCTCTCCCTGAGGTCCTGGGAGTAAATAAATATTCAGGAAATTACTTAATTAGGCCTTGGGAAAGAGTGCACGCACGTGCAAAGGAGAGAGCTAGGAGACAGTTACAGCACAGGCCAGGGACCTCATTAGAAGATCATTTCTCAACATCTGCAGTGCTGGACCGTCCATGTACCCACGTCAGGGTGTTCCGCAGCATCGCTGGCCTCCCCCAGAGGGCAGTAGCAAGTCTTCTTTTAGGAGCAGTAGCCAGAAAACGAGGGTAGACTGTACCAATCACCTTTGGGACGGCAGAGACGCAAAGGCAACCCTATCTGACGGCTCTTCTGATTCCTAAACTTAATAAGGTGATTAATTGGCCTGAATAATTCATTGATTGGATTGATTGAAGTTTTGAGACAGGCTTCATGTAGCACATGCTGTCCTCACACTTGCTATGTAGCCAAAGCTGGCCTTGAAATCTCTTCCTTCTGCCTCGTGGCCTCCCAAGTGCTGAAATTAGATCTGTGCCCACACCATAAGCAGAAACCACGTCATTTGTTTTGTTTTGGTTTGGTTTTTTTTTTAAATTTTTAATAACTACACGAATAGAAGAAGCATATCATTACAGTTTTAATATGCTCAATAACAGTTTCCAGAGCAAAGATGTAGCTCTTTCAAAAGTAGCTGTAATTTTTAGGTTCACAGTGTTGAATTAATATAGTTATACCTTATTGTACTCAGTAT